TTTACGAATTTATTATACTGTTTGTCTACGTTTTTTATATGTTTATTAAACGTATTATTTCCGTATACTTTCCTTATCGTTATACTAATTATTTATAGGGCTTATATAATCGAAGCCATCTTACAAAAAACATTTACCAAAGAAGAATTACAACATAAGGATAATATTATATTTGGTATAATTGTAATTTTAATGTTCTTAGATTCATCGTATAATCAAGCTGAAATTTCAGCATTAAAGGTATAGGAGCGTATGAAACAATGGAATTCAGATCTATTTATACGAAGCTTGGTAAAAAATTTTGTAAAATTAATATTAATATTTACTTAATATATTTATTAATATTTTTATTTTAGTTTGAATATAATGATAAAGAACAATCAGAAGATTTATCTAATTAAGAGAGTAATAATTCGAATGAATATTATGAAAATATGGATAGCGATAATAATAATAAAGAAAGTGATAATTCTAGCAATGATAATGAAGATAATTTCTTAATTTCTTAATTTGTATTTACGTTATATAAATAAATAATAATATAATACAAAAATGCTATAATACATATAAATTTACATATTCTTTTATTGATTGATCTACATAATACATTATTTTACATATTGATTGATGTTAGTATTTTGATGTTTTGTTCTGCGTTGCCTTTGCAGCACAACGTAATTTAATGTTGATCAACACATGACACTTAATGATATGCAGTTTCACATGCATTTAACTTCCTGATGATAAGTGCATATGACTCATATTGATATTTCTATTTAAAGTTGATTTCTTTTTTAAAGTTCATTAGGGGAGGACCAGAAATTACGTCATTTTAAAAGGGGGGGAGGAGGGTTCAATTTATAATGACATTCCACAAATTTTATATAAGTTAATTATAAATTTCTTATGGATGATGACAAGGGGGGAGGGGTGTCACAATTTCTAAAATCTTAATGACATAATTTCTGGCCCTTCCCTTACGATATATGCTTGTTCTTAACCAGATATAGTTTAACTTATAACTGTTGATCCTGAATACCACATAAAGGTGGCAAGCTTTGTTTAGTTATTTTTATTCAGAAAAAAAATTTACAAAAAAAAACTGAAATTAAGATAATGTAATAGATAAAGGAATGAGAGATAATAGTTAAATGAAAAGGATTATTGTGGTATTTGTGTGTCAGGATATAATGGAGAGACGTTAGAATCAGATTGGTTGAAATTAGTGAGAAATTGAGAGTGACATGAAGAAGAAGAATGGTTAGAAAGACAATTAGAAGTTAATGATTCTAAAATATATATTGTAAATAATTAAGTATAAATTAGAACAATATAATCAAATAAATTTCATACCTTAATTTTTTAACAAATCTCACTTTTTTCCTTTTATACAAGATGCTAAAAAAAATAATAATATTGAATTTAATAATGGTTCTTTTCTATCAATATTAATTAGAAGGTTTACTATGTTAACTGGGTTTCTACCAAAATTTATCATCAAATTGCTCGCCAATTACTTCTTCTACATGTGTCTATCTTTCATTAGATTTCCCTTCAGTATACCTTTGAAATAACTAAAAAATTAAAATTAAATAATTTATATTTTTTTTAAAATATAATTAATCTCCTTTTTTTTTACATGAATTTACTTACTTTACAATCCTTTAAACTTGTCCCTAGCCTATATACCAGTAAAATCTGTCTTTAAATTTATTTCGATCTGTGTTGCAATTTCATTCCAAAATGTTAACTTCAACCTACTGAACCTTCTCCAATAATCTTCATTTTTTTCTCTTCTTAAATTAATCAAAAGTTGTATTTCTTTTTCAGACTATTCAATAGTGTTAGGTATTTTTAGAAATTAAGAAAATATTTGAATTAAGTAAATATTTGATAATTAGAAAAAAACAAAATCAAGATAAAAGTTTTCTTTTATAAAATCATATTGAAATATGTCAGCATTAAACAAATTTGCAAATAATTATCTAATTTTTTAATATTTCAAAACAAGACACATCATCATTAAACAAGTTTGCAAATTATCTAATTTTTCAATATTTCAAAGCAAAATACATCAGTATTAAACAAGTTTGTAAATAATTATTTAATTTTTCAATATTTCAAAACGAGATACATCAGCATTAAATAAGTTTGCAAATAATTATCTAATTTTCAATATTTCAAAAATTTTGTAATTTTTGTAATTTTAAATTTTATAATTTTTGCGATTTCAAATTTCAAATTATAGGAATTAATGTATAATCATTACTGATTCAACTTAAGATAAATACTAGTTAATTTAGGATATAACACTATTTACTTTTATAGAAATTTATGATGATTAGTCAATTCTAATATACCTAGGACTCAAAATTACTTGCATATTCAGAATATAGAAGGAACTCTAAGTCCTGAGCTTGGGACTGAAACATGATGTGTATATTGAAGGTGTTATTGTATAATAGTTAATTGTTAATATGGTAATATATCACAAAAAAAGATTAACTTTTAGATAATCAATAAATACTGATTTAATTATTCTAATTTAACTTAAATTGACTTTTTTAATATACTGTAGAGGCTACATGACCAACTTAAAATATGATATATAATAAAATAGTTGCTGCCATAATTTTTTAAATTTTTTTAACTAACTTTATATATTTGGACAAATCTTTCATATTTAAAAAATGTATATCATATTTAGAATGATTAGGTATTTTATATTTAATAGATATAAAACAGGAGGGTTTTTTAAAAATAATATTATTTTTACAGTTTTTTATTTTTGTTAGGAAAATAGTAATAATAATCTATTGTGTTCAGGAAATTTAAAAATAGTTAAATTTTCTTTTTTACACTTCATTAATACTGATTTAGTAGTTATAGAAATAAACTGCATTTTTTTTGAAAGAGAAAAAAATGTAATTAAAAATATTATCCTTCACATTTTCATTTCGCATTTCACGTTTCTTTTTCATGTTTCTTTTTCACATTATTTTTTATACTTCACCTTTAAATCTTAAGTTATTAAATATATTTTATTAAATTTATTTGAAATTATATTAATAAAAACTAATAACTTTATTTATTTTAGTATTAATAACATGGTTTATGAAAATCTTCAAGTTTGTCATGCTAGAGTTATTATAAAACGGAGAAGATAATAGACAGCAAAAGAAAAACTAATGATAATTGCATATTATGAAAATGGTCACAATAAACGATCAACAGCAGATAAATTTGAAATTGAACCAAAACAACTTTGTGAGTGGATAAGAAATAAAGAATAACTCATGCAAGTAGCTTCTTATAATCAAAAGCTTAATAGTGGTATGCGACCAAAATATTTACATCTTGAAATTGAATTTTTAGAGAATCTCAAAGCTAATTGAAAGTTGTTTCATGTTATATGATTTAGGCAAAAGCACATTCTTTAGCTAAAAAACAAATTTATCAGGTGGAGTTTTCAGATATAATAGATGCAAAATTTCGCAAAAATGGTTTGATGGCTTTATGATCTGTTGTTAATAGAAGAAAAACAATAATTGCTCAGAAGTTTTCAGAAAATTATATTGAATTACAAAGTCAGTTTTTATCTTATGTTCTATTTTATCGAAAAAATACTAATATCTATTATCTTTAATTGCAAATATGGATGAAACACCAATGGCTTTTAATTTACCAAATAATATAATAGTAAAGCAACATGGTATTAGAACTATATTAATTTTAACAACTGGTCATGAACATTCTAATTTTACTGTTGTATAGCAAATGGAATAAAATTACCTCCTGTGATTATTTTTAAACTCGTAAATGTTTCACGTTAGAAGTTTTCTGATGGTGTAATTATTTGTGTTAACAAAGAAGGTTGGATGAATGAAAATGAAATGATTTGATGGGTAGAAAACATTTAGAGACAACATGTAAGATGAGGCATAAACCTAAAATCTCTTTTAGTACTTGACTTCTTTACAGCTCATAAAACTGATGTAGTAAAAAATCAGATTTATGAAAAAAATACAGATCTAGCTATTATTTCAGGTGGATTAACTTCTCGTTTACAACCACTTGATATATTATTAAATAAATCTTTCAAATCTAAGGTAATTATTTTATTTTGATTGTTATTTAATTAAAATAAATTAACTTAACATTAAGTAAAATAGGTGCGACATCTTTATAATAACTGGATGAATAAAGCTATTAAGGATTATACATCATCTGAAAAGATCAAATGACTATCTTACTCATTTGTAGCAACTTGGGTAAAACAAAGTTGGGATTCAATTGATTCTGTTATGATTAGACGTTCATTTAAATGTTGTGACATATCAAATTTCTTAGATGGGCAGGAGGATAATCTAATTTTTAATTTCAATAAAGTAGAAAAAATAAATAATCAAGGAAGAGGAATTGAAGAAGATGAAGGTAATAATGAAAGTGAATTTGAAGATGATAGCAATAGAAGTGAATCGGATGGTGAGAATAATGAAAATGAAGAAAATTATTATAAAGAAAATGAAGATTGCAACATAATCCAAAACTGGAATTGATAGAATTTAATCAAATTTATAATTCTGTAGCATTTATTCAATAATTATGTATTATCAAATTATAAATAAATACTCAAGAATATATTATTTATTGTAAAATTGATTAATTTATTAATTTATTAACTTTTGCGATCTAAATTTAAAACTAAAAACTTTATGTAAAATATTCGGGTCTTATTCAAAACTCGCGTAATTCAAATTGAATAATACCCGGATCTTTTAAAGTGGGGTATGCTCAAAGGAATACTTTAGGCAGTGCTAAACGGTACGTGGAGTTCTTGATGAAAAACTTGTTTCTCAATTAGTTGAATTATAGTCATTTTTTTTGTGCTGCTTTGAAGGGGTTTTCCTTCCATTACTTATACAGAAGAAAATATCAATATTAGATATTTAATACTGATGAGTTTAGAGATAATATATTCCATGATTTTGCTTCAGGAATTCCAGTGATAGATATTGCAAGCTCATATGCTACAAATGTATATTATATCTTTTGTTCTTTCTGACGATAAATTAAAAAATAATTTGAAATTATTTATGAGACGTAGAGATCATATAGGATTTATAAGCATGTCCCCTTCTCATAAATACCACTAAGATACAATTTATCCTAATGAAATAGAAATCAGCAGTACAGTCACAACTACAAATAAATCCCTTTAATGATGAGCACCGCCTGCTCATTGAATATTTATAAATTTTTTTTGTTTTATAATTGATTTTAAATAAAGATTATTATTTTTTTGATTTTTCATTTTTATATGCTCTGTCTTACCCAATTTTCTAATCCATTAGCTACCCATAATTCTTGAACACTTCTCCCTAAAACATCAACCTTAAATACAGTTTGTGATTCATTTAACCCTTTAATTAATATAATACCTTCTGTTACTTTAACTTCAGCATCCAATTTTGTACGTGTTGTTAATTTTTTTGAATTATATTTTTCTTTTAATAAACGCACAAGATTAGGTGCTTCAAGACATAGTAAAGCATTATTAATGGAATTTCTTTTGAATGTTTCAGAAAAAGATCCAGCAATGACAATAGTAACACCACTTGCTTTGATTGCAGTGGCGGCTTGTTCTCTCGATGATCCAGTACCAAAATTAAAACCACCAACCAAAATATCTCCCTACAAATATTATATAATTAACTAAAAATGTTGAAAATCAAAATTTATTTAAATAATGTTTTACCTTGGAAACCAAATTTGCAAATTTAGGATCATAATTTTCCATAACTACTTTAGCCATCTGTTCTGGTGCGAGATCATCAACATAAGTGTATTTTCCAGGGTAAATTCCATCAGTATTTAAATTATCCGCATGACAAAATATCAATTCTCCCTTAAATGTTTCTGGAAATCCAGGAATTGTAGATTTTATATATGATGATGTTACAGAACTTTGTTTGGACTGATCAACTTCATATGTTATAATTGGAATTTGTTGTTTAGAATGAGATGAAAACGATGTGGATAGGGAAGCTGGACTTGCGATTTTACCAACTACTGCAGAAGCAGCAACAATAGCTTTTTTTTTTTAAAAAAAAAGAAACCGATTTGGTTAAAAGAGAAAAAAAATATTATAAAGGTAAAGAAAGGATAAGATGAATTGACAAAAACTACCTGGAGATGCAAGATAAGCTAACGCATTCGGTGAGCCCATACGACCCTTAAAATTTCGGTTAGTAGCGGAAATTCCAACTTCGCCATCTTTCAAAAGGCCAACACCAAGACCTATTTATAAAGAATTATTACTTTACATAAATATTGAAAAATCATTTCCATAAATCCTTACCAACACATGGTCCGCAACCAGCAGGTAATACTTTCGCCCCTGCATCAATTAATGTTCGCCAATCACCATTTGTTTCTGCATCTTTTTGCACTTCACTACTTGCGGCTGCTACATAAAATTCAACCCCATCTGCTATTTTTTTACCCTTCATTACTCGTGCAGCCGCACGTAAGTCTTCAGCACGCGAATTGACACATGAAACAAGGTATGCTTTTTGAATCTTTATATTTTGTTTCTCAAGTTCATCAAGAGGTCTTGAAATTTTAACAGAATTAGGACCAGAAATTTGAGGAGAAAGTGTTGAAAGGTCTAATGATAAATATTTAGAATAATAAGCTGCAGGTGAAGCACGTAAATGATTTTTTTCAATTTCATCAATTCTTTCATGATTAATTCTAGGATTTTTGAATGGTTGCCCGGGAGGTGTAGGTGTTAAATTTTTATTTTCAAATCTCGTAAGTTCCAACCTTTCGACTCTTTTACGGAGCCATTTAATAGTAATTTCATCAACTGGGAAAACTCCAGCTAATGCACCCCATTCCGTTGTCATATTAGCAATAGCTAGTCGTTCTGATAAACCAAGTCCACGTATTCCTTCACCTGTAAATTCTATTGCACAATTTAAAACTTCATCATTGTTAAACATTCCACATAAAGTGATTATAATATCTTTGCCCGTCACACCATCCGGCAAATTGCCTTTGAGTTCTACTTTTACTACAGGAGGAATTTGCCACCAAGTTCTCCCAGTTGCCCATATTGCTGCAGCATCTGTTCGAACTATTGGTGTTCCCAAACATCCAATTCCACCATACATATTAGAATGTGAATCGGATGCTACTGTTAAAGTATTTGGGAAGGCATACCCTTCTTCAATAAGTATTTGATGTCCAATTCCCCTTCCAGCGGGATAAAAATCTACATTATGAAGACTCGCAAATTTTTCAATCGAACTGTACTTTGCTAAATTCTAAAATAATAATTTAAATTTTTGGATTGAAAAATAAAATAAATGACGTATTCTATATCTCACCTTCTCGGATTTATTTTGTACATCATGATCCAAAGTAAATACTGCTTGTCTAAGATTTTTAAATTTTGATGCACCTATACTTTTGAACCTAATTAAATTGAAAATCCCTTATTATCAAAAAAAAAAAAAATATAAAAAAAAATTACATTACGCCTATTCTAACAATAGTAAACCGGTATTTTTCATGGAACCTACTTTGTCATTACAGCTGCAGTATTATCATGAGTCATAACATGTTCTGGTTGAATAGTTACAAAATCACCACTTTTAACTTTATAACCTGGTGATAAGTTTAACGCGTATTTTTGTACAATTTTTTCTATAAGGTTTTGATTGATAGTTTCCGTTGTAAATGATCGATGATTGTAAAATGAATTATATTTTGTTGAACTTACAAAAAAATTTCGTGTTGATTTAAATAAAATTGAACGCATTATTAGGGACATCAATAAATAAATGTAGGGGAAAAAAAATTTATCAAGCGAAAATAAAGATCAAATAGATTCAGGTTTCACAAAATATCTATAAAAGCGATTGTATTGAATATCCTTGCTTTATTGAATCAGGATGATCTAATCAATTTAAACTTTACTTGACACATTATGAATTCCCCAAATAAGAAGTCAAAAATAAATCTTTAAATTATGGTAAATTCTCTCCTTGCAATACTTCTCGTTATTAACACCAGCCGAGGACACCAGTTCGTTTTTAATTATCCAAAGGTTCCTCAAAGACGTGATGATATTGACCAAGTTAGAAAAGAAAATGATGACATTGGAGGCGATGTGCTTGAAAACGATGTAATAACGTGGCCCTATGGTGCAAACGAGGATGTTGACAAATGGTCGCTTCGTTCACGACTTGAAGAAGAGGAGGAGTATGACATTAATTCAAACAAACAGACCAATAATAGTACTGGAAACGATGACATTGAACGCAATGAAACATTTAATAAATTATTTGGATTTGAAACTTGGTTATTAGCGAATATTCTCTGTCCTAAAAATAATGGGTTGACAAAATTCCAGCTTTCAATTGATGATCTGACTTTTGTTGGACAACCTGTTTTTCTTAAAACGGAAGTTGATACTAAAGAGAGAGAAACTTATGGTAGAGAAAGAAAAAAGAATGATGATAATGATAATGGTATAAATTTAAATGAAGAAGGATTACAGGAACTGTCATCTAGACTTGGTTGTTCTGATGAGCCAAATGAAGAAATGCCTACTCAAATATCTTCTAATGTTACATCCGATAATAGTAACTCTTCTTCTAATCATTCTATTCAACGGCATCTACACTTTTTCTTTCATCTTGTGTTTGTTCTTGAACCACCTGAATTGGATTTATGTAGACAAGTAGATGATATTTACAAAAATGTTATTACAAAATTAACGGAAGCACTTCGATATGAACAATTACGATGTGACTTTGTTAGGAAAGAAGCTGAGTTAATAATATCTTTAAGAGAAAATCCAGGTATGCATATATAAAAGCGTTTGATGCAACCATTCGTTTATATAATAAAATATATTTCAAATAATAGGTGTCTCTACCCCGGACAAATTGATGGAAATCATATTAGAGAAAAGTTCTTTAGCACGATCAATTTGCAAAGTGTATTATGCAATTTCAACTGATAATATTGCACATATACTTATTAATGACTATATTGATTTATCCTTACAAATTCCTCCACTTTCTCCGACCATTAATCCTATTGATAATACTGATAATGACATGGTTAGGTATGAGTATGCTCATTATCCCGTTATTGCTCCATATCATACTCTGCTGCTTCTGGAAGATCCAGAAGAAATTCTTAAAAATATGCCATTAGATGCTAATCCAACATTGGTTCAGTTGGTTCAGATTTTGACTCCTACACAACGGTATGAAATATTGTTGATAATAATTAAATTTTCAGGAAATTTTTTTTTCTTTAAAAAAAAAGTGTCTTCCTGATCTTTTATTATAGATTGGCCGACTTATGTACTGTATTAGATTGTTCTTTAGCACAGATATTTCGAATTGCGGCACATTTGATATATTGGCAAAAGGCTAAGATAATCGATGTTATTAGTGTTCGGAATGTCTATGTTGTTTCTTCTACCGCGGATATGAACTCGTAAGATGATTATGATATATTTGTATTCATATAATTTATAATTTTACTTTTCAATGTTATATAAACTTATATATCTTTCTTAATACTTGAGGTTACCGACTTATATTGAATATTTTAAACAACACTTTCCTGCTTTGGATCTTGTAACGATTCTTGCTTCTCTCTCTACTCCTAAGCCATACTTTATAAATGCTATCACGTCCAAAGAGAATCGCACAATGTACCTTGAAGCTATAACTTACTTGTTGAGAAAAGACCTTGTTGTACAATTACACGCATATATCTTGATCATGATACCACAATATATAAAGAATGGATTTACTCGGGCAGAGTATGAAGAAAAAATGAGAAATTCTGGGAACAGCGAAGGTTATGATCATACAGCTGTTGATATATCTGTTCCCTCCTCCTCGGCAGGTGGAAGAGGAATTGGTAATTCGTCAAGCTCAATGGATGCTACCGCTCTAATTTCCCCTTTTGAAAAGGCATCAGACAGTGAAAGGGAATGGTTATACAGCTTCGTAACAAATCATCCTAAAGAAACTGTTACACTTTTCGAGAGGTTTGTAAAAGCCTTAAATTTAATCATTTATAATTGTTTTAGATATTTATCAATTCCGTTTTTTCCTTATTAAAGATTAATTAAATATTTCAATGGAAAACATCATGTTGAAGAGATTCTCTTCCGTGAAACTATAAAACCGAGAGATTTAGGTAAAGTATTAGGTTTGTTTAGCAAAGATGAATTGATTACTGTTTGGTGTTAAAGGATTGGACTCCTTTTTTTTTTTTTTTCCTTTTTTACCCTTTACATAACCTACTTCTATTAGCAGTAATAAATATAATAAAAAATACGTATAAAAAATTTTATAAAAAACATGCTGCGTAAGTCACGAGATTATAGGAAAAAAACATTAAAATAAACTTCCGCATCGGGGAATCGAACCCCGGCCTTCCCGGTGAGAGCGGGAGATCCTAACCACTAGACCAATGCGGATAATGATTTATTAAAATATTTTAAAAAGTTATTTGTTAAATTTAACGTTTGCAATATAGGAAATAATGTTTGTTAATCGTATCTCAACTATTGATTTCTTTAAAATTTTTCATATCCTATTATGGTTTGGTTATATAATTTTATTTTGCAACTTTTTGAGAATATATTGATACCTCTCTTTCCGTATCGAGAATGTATGTAAATTAATTAAATAATAATTGATTGTCGTTAGCGTATATAACAACAATAAAAACTACCTAAAGTTACGTTCAAGTAAATTCCAAATTTCGAATTACCAAATTTGTGTATTTTTTGACTCCTTGTGTAACTTGGTACAACGCGCAATGTTTATTTGGGGGGTTTTTTTTTTTAAAAAAAAATTACCTACAGGTTGTTAATACTTTCTCAATCACAAATAAATTACCTTTCCTACTCTTCATTTGAGGGTATTTAAATAATTTTATGGTACATTTCAATGATTTCGTTTAATTTTATGAAGAAAATTCTGTAAAAGTTTTTAGATGGTTTAATCTATTTTATTGCGTAAAAATTTTTTTTTAAAAAAAAAAAAAAAATACCAAAAAGGTATATTGTTATGATGTCAGATACAGCGTCCTCACCCTTAGATACGTCTTCTCCTTCTTCATCGTCGTCTACTCTTGCTACGACTCCTAATTTTTTACATGCAGATCTAAGTCGTTCTTCATATTTCTCAACGTCATGTAATAATCCATATCCTACCAAAGCTACAGGAGTTTCGCTTAGTTGTTTAGTAAATGCATCAGTAACAGTTGTTCCTAATTATAATGATAATAAACCACCAAATTATGTTTACGTATTTGGTGGATTTAATTTATACACTGATGAAGTTTATAATGATTTATATAGGTTAAATGTTTCTGAAATGAAGTGGGAAGATGTAATTTATTTAAAGGGCGTACGTCCTTCAAAAAGAACTAATCATTCTGCTTCTTTATGGAATCAAGATAAGATAATAATTTTTGGCGGGACAGATGAACAAGATCAAAATTGTAACGATATAGTTATATTGGATTTAAAAACTATGGCTTGGGAACGTCCTGAAGTGAATGGACATATTCCGTTAGGACGTGCAAAGCACTCAGCCACTATACACAATGATAAACTTTATATAGTTGGAGGTTATTATACAAGTGATGAAGAGGTGAATTTGGTATCATCCGATGTTAACTGTTTAAATTTACAAACGTGGACATGGGAAGATCCTATTACATTAATTCCAAGACATTCACATGTTTCATTCATTTATCAGAATCGTCTTTATGTATATGGAGGGTATAACGAGGAAATGGATAGAGAAAAGTCACTTGTTATTTTAGATCTTCAGACTCAACAAGTTTCAAAGATAGAAATTACGAGTGATTCAGGACCTGAAATGAATGGACAACATTTCGCTCAATTATATTGGAATCGATTAGTTGTAGTGGTAACGCAGAGTTTAAAAGTTGAAGCGCAAGAAGGTTCAATCGGAGTTTGGGCTTTAGATTTGAACTCCTTTCAATGGCATCAATTTGAAGATGGTGATCGTTTTGTACAAGGAAATTGGCATTATTTTGCTATGGCAGAAAATTGTCCAAGGTTCTTCTTATTTGGAATAGATGAAAAGGAATCCGATGAATACTTTTCAAATGTTCTTTCGGTTGATCTTCAAGAATATGGCATTTCGAGAATTCCACCTCCAACCATTGGATGGGATTTTGCACAATTATTAAATGACGTTACCACTTCAGATTTTACCATTAAATCAAATGAAGAAGATAGTCCTGTCATTCATGTTCATCGAATTATTCTTCTTGCCAGATGGCCTCACTTCGGTAATATGATTAATTCAGGAATGACAGAATCATTTAATTCAACTTTAACAATTCCTGAACCTTATGCTATTGTTCAGGCTTTTATTTCTTACCTTTATACGGATATCATTGAAGGACAACTTCTAATTGATATAGTTGCAGATCTTATGGTGTTGGGTAATATGTATCTTATTCCACGTTTAACTTCACTTTGTTGTGCTCGTCTACAAGAGAACATTAGTATAGAGAATGTTGCTAAAATATATCAATCTGCTTCAGTCGCTGGAGCTCATCCTTTAAAGAAAAGGTCAATGAGATTTATCAACACTAATTTCGGTCCAGTTTCTAAAACACAAGGTTTCAGGACTTTACCGAAAGAAATCTTGTTTGATTTCTTGGATAGTTTGCCGGAAAAGGCGAAAATTAGTGTTGAATGACATGAATGACACTTTTTTTTGGTAGGTTAATAATTTTTTACTAAAATCAAAAAAAACTTGTCTACAATTTTTAATATTAATTTCCATGGCTTTTTAACAAACCAAAGACGGTTTATTATAAAAATGAACTTTATAATACGAATTTAAGATTCTGTAATATCCTGAAATATTTTTTTCTTGAACTTATAGGGATATAATAGAACATTTGATTTAAATATAGAATTTTTAATATACTGATTGGTATGTTGGTATATAGATATGTATTTCAGTTAAGTATGTTCATTACGTTGAATCGTTTATGAATAATTGTAAATTTTTTTTTCGTTTTTACATTTAATGAGTGAGCATCCTAGAATACTTGTACGGATAGTGAAAGTTTTCTTTCATAGAATAAAAAAATCATATAGCAAAAAAAAAAAAAAAGTATAAATAAAAATTTTGGGATTTTTTTTTTAATAAATTTTTATCATACCAAATATTTTCCGAAAGTTATCATGTGACGTAAAATGATTGGGCTTAATTTTTTTCATCATAACCATCATAATTATTAATAAACAAGAAAAATATGAATAGCCGTTTTTAGATTTTACATAAATTTGACCAAATTTACATGATTTATCAAAAAATTTTATTATTTTAAAAAAAAAAGGTACTTTTTAATATTATTACCAATTCAGTATTACAGTAGTATCAATAGATCAATTGGATAATGCAGAAATCTTTCAATAAGAAAAATTATCTCAAAGAATCATCTTTAAAAGATGATAAAATCATTTCATTTGAAATAATAATATGGGAACTTTGCAGTAAAAAAGGAGAAAACTCTAAAAAAAATTTTTTTTTGAATTTATGTTAGATCTAAACTTATTTAAATAAAATAATCATAATTAGCTTAAAAAATAAAAGTTTATTTTTTTAGAGTTTCCTTCCTTTCTACTGCAAAGCTTCCTTCCATATAATCGTTTCATTGAAACAGGTATCATTTCAAAATGATGATTAAATCATTAATCCTAATAAAAAACATTATTCTAAAACAATACAATTTGTTTAATAAGAATGATAAAAAATTGTTTTAATTAAATAATTAAATCTTCATCCTAAGAGATAAATGATTAAATCAAAGGTTAATATAAGAATAATAAAAATCATTTCAATTAGAAAATATAAAATTATCCATTAGAATATTAATTTAGAATAATTATAATTATTCTTAATGAATAATAATTAAATTTTAGATTATTCAAAAATTTTTTATTCAGTTTACATATAAACTAATAAACTTTTAGATTAATCTAAAAATAAATTTTTTTTTATTTTTTCCTTTATATTTCTTTTTTTTCTTATTTTGAAGTAAATCAAAGTAAACTTTAAGTAAAATTTACCATTTTTCTTTCTTTTTCTTATTTTTTAGAAAAATTTTTATTTTAGAATTAAAGTAAGTAAATCAGAAGTAAATTTTATATGAAAATTTATTATTTTTCTTTCTTTTTTTTTTAGAAAATTATCATTTGAAAATAAAATAATTAAATTAAAAATGACTTTAAAATAAAATTTTAATTTATTTGTTATTTTTTTATTTAGAAATATATCTAAGATAAATTAATTTAAAATGATTTTGCATAGATTTATTAATTTCTTTTTTAAAAATACATTAAGATAAGTTAATCAAAAGAGGTTTTAAGATAGATTTGTAACTTATTTTTTTAGTTTTCTTTATTTTTTTAGAATACATAATTAATATGTTGCAACTTTTAATGTTGCAACATATATTGCAATTAGTTTTGACTTATATATGGAAGGCAGTCAATAGAAAAGGTGAAAATCTAAATTTTAATCAAAATTTATATTATTAGTCTACTTGGCTAATCTCAATTATGTGCATAAATTTGGCTTAATAATAAAAATTAACAAAAATTTTAGATTTTTCCCTTTTCTACTGACTGCCTTTTATATGTTACAACTTATGATGTTACAATATATGTTACAACTAATTTTAGCTTATGTTACAACATATTGTAAATTTGAAATTAATTGCTGCACCATCTTTAAAATCAATTAAAAATGAATTTTAAGATAAATTTCTTAATTAATTTTTTTTTCTTATTTTTTTAAAAAATAAAATTTATATTGCATATATTTATTTTAAGTAGAGCTTCAAATAGGTCAGATCAGATTGGGTAATTGACTTGACCTGACCTGATAAGATCAAGTCAGGTCAGACATAAAATTGACTTGAATTAAATATACATTTGACCCGACCTGCCTAAAAAAGAAAACTAAACAATTATTAATTTTGTTTAATATTTTTTTAAAAAAATATAAAAATATTGATACATTTTTACATTTGATTATTTTTCAAAAAAAAAAAAAATACTAATATGATTATTTTAATTGCAGAATTTAAAATTACAAGTTGTGATAAATCTGCAAATCTGATAACTGCAAATACAATTATAAAAAACGTTCATAACTTTACAACCATTAATCTAATCATAATAAAA